GCGTTCCACCCGGCAGCTTCTCCACCTGCACCCCGGAGGCAGGGTGCTCATCAGCAATAATGACCGGGGGCTCCTTCTCGGCGACATCCCCCTTCTTCGGCTTTTTGGTAGCCGGGGGGGACCCCTTGGTCACTGCCTTCCTCTTGCCGGCAGCGGCATCGCCCTCGGCTTTCTTAAAGAGGGCAGTGGCGGGCTTCTGGATGCCCTGTCCCGACCCCTTCGGGTCCTGTTTCTTCAAACGAGCAAGGCCCTTTACGTTCACCATAGAGACGGGGATACCTGCACAAAGGAGACAAAGGGTTAGTCCGACGGGTCTAAGCGAAGGGACGATAACATCCAAGCAAAAAAAAAAACTAAGTACAAAATTCTAAAGCCCTCGGCTCCTACCTCCGGCCCCTCCGAAGGCCTTGTTGAAGGGAGGGTACTTTTCATCGGTCTCCCCTATGAAGCGGTACCTCCGGAACCCGAGGGTGTATAAATCCTCCTCGAGGGTGCAGTCTTTGATCGCCACGTTCTTGTTTTTCCCCTCCGGGAACTTGGCCAGCTTCAGGCCGTCTTTCTCGAGAGCGGCACTCCTGATCTTTTCGTGCCTTCGGAATCGATCACGCAGCTCCCTCGGGAATGGGCTCTCATCCAACTTTACATAGCACCAACGTTCCCTCCATCCTTTGTTGGAAGAAGGAGCATCGGAGAATAGTTTGAAGCGGGCAATCTGCTGCAGGTTGGCGTACCCCTCGCCGTTTTCGTGCCCCCCCCGGCACAAATTAAAGCTCTGGAAGAATAGATCCAGGCTGGGCTTCACCCCTCGGGACTTGCAGAGCTGGAGGAACCCCGCAATGTAGGAGTGGCTGTTGGGCGTGAGTTGGCAGGGGACCAAGCCAACAAACCGCAAATATTCCCGGAGGAATGGGTGCAGAGGGAACCTAATTCCCATGGAAACCGAAAGGACGTGAATAGCGATACACCCCTCGGGCGCCCTGGACAACACGTCGTCGGGACCTGGCTCCACCACTTCGGCCGAGGGCCCCACGTGCAGCTGAGTCACGTACAGATCTGCCCTGTCAGCCTTCGACCTGATCTCGAGGGCCTCAGTGTTCAGCCAACTATACCCCTCGGGCATGTCCACGGGCTTTCCTTGATCGACGGCCCTCTCCTTCTTCTTGGTAGCGGCCTTCTTCTTCTTCAAACCGGAAACCGCCCTCAGAGGTATCGGATCCAACGGCCTCGAGCTACTGGCCTCCCCGGAACCCCGAGGGGGGAGCACAGCAACGGTGACCCTCTCGCCTTCTCTTTGTGCCTCCTCTTCAGCTGCTTGCCAGGCGATGGCCATCTCTTCGTCCTCACATTCTTGTTCAAAGCCCTCGGCCTCCGCCTCAGCTACGAGGGCTTTCTGCAACTCCAGGGCAACGACGGCATCCTGTCCCACCGAGGACTCTGCACTTGAGGACTCCACGTCCGAGAGGACTTCATCCTCCACCGAGGGCGCCCCCGAGATATCTTGAGAATCGCTCTGGGACGACATGCTGACTCTAGTTCGAAGGCTCTTGCACGCTAGCGTTTCTAAATTTTCTATCTCCTAACCTAAGGGCACAGTACAACTATGCTAGAAGGAGAAAGGCAGGGAGCACTGACCTCGAAAGCTGAGTTAGGACCGAAGGCTGGAGTTTCTCTCACTAGATTTTTTGGCAGAGCTTCGCTAAAACAACTGATCGCACAAGAGGAAATGGCTCTGGCCTTGGGGTATTTATAGGCGCTGGAATCCGGGCTTGGGCCTGGGTTCCGGGCCTCCGGATGGACGCCATCATTACTCACCGCGTCTTCGCCCAACCGGTGACGCCGCCCACGGACAGCCAGCCATCACACGCCACGTGTGCCCCCCCCCCCCCCCCCCCAACGGCTATATCCCGTCGTTACATATTCCAACGGCTATATTTCCAACGGCTATATTTTGGAAGCCCCCGGGTTTTCTACTTCACTCCACTTCATCAAGGATAGCCTCCGGGTGCACTCACCCAGAAGTGCCCCCGGGTTGTGCCCCACACATCACATTACACACGCCTTCGGGATCACTCCTTCAGATCCCTAGGGCTGCATATCAGGGCACCCCTCGGGGTCTTCCCCTCAGCACTGCAAAACCGGGTAGCCCCCGGGGAGTGCCTCATTGACGGATGGCCCATGGCCCTCGGGTATCTTCATCACCAACTCATCAACAAACAGTGGACCCCCCGGTAACAGCTTCACTGCTGCCCTCATCTGGCAGGCCCTCGATCCCTGGATTGAGGGGCCCCCCTTCGGCGCCACCAGGACATCAACAGCAAGCCTCCGGCTAATCAACACAGGAGCCCTCAGAGGAGAGAGCCTTCGGCATTCCCGTCATTCTCCACTTTGTACCAAGGTTTGACATTTTCGATTCATCATTGGGGGAATTCGGTGCACTCTTTTTCTCTCATTAGGATTTTTTCCCAAAGGGTTTTTTCTAATGAGGTTTTTAACGAGGCATCCCCCCAAAATGAAACGAAAAGCGTCAGCCTTCGGCCCACAACAGCAACGTAACTACTCTACTCCTTTTCACCACTTTACAAGTGCCTCAAGGAGTGGGGGACTGGAGGACCCCTTCGGGAAAATCATTACATTACAAAATCTGTGAAATTCCAACAAACAACAAAGCAAGCCCTCAAGTCCCGACATGTGGGTAACTGAGGGACTGCCTTCGGCAGGGACATAAAAGCAACAACTCCTCACCAACTTCAAAGATCACAACGGGACAACATCAAAGGGCAAGCACAAATTACTCCTTTTCCCTCAAGTACCTTTCGGCAAAAGGAGTGAGGGACTCCTGATGGAGTATATGGCCCGGGAACCCCCGGCCCACAGACTCCTACTACTCCAGCAAAGGCCCAACAGGCCCAAAAGGCCCAACAGGCCCAAATCACAGCGCCCAGAGTACCAAGCAGTCCGCACAACGCACAGGGATGCCTTCGGCCCCCCGGCCGAAGGCTCCAAATTCTCACAGAGCGGGTTTCTCAAGCAAACTAAGAAACTGGGAGAAAACGGCGAAAATAGTAGCCCTCGGCACTGTGAGCCCTCGGCACCAGGGTGCCATCGGGTGGAAGAGCCCTCGGCTACTGCTCTATAGCCGAAGGCATCTCACTCGACAAGATATCCGCCTCACATGCGTACAGATCAACGTACCCCGCACAGACGTCCCATCCAACAGCCGCATTAAATGCGGCCACATTCGGCTGCCAGCGCCAACCAGTTGAGGTGACCCCTCGGCCAATGAGCGCTTGACACGTGTCCCTGCCCGACATTTATTGCTACTATAAATAGCACCCCATTTCCCCATTTGTAACCACGCTGAAAAGTCATAACACACTGAATACACTCTCTCTCTACTTTTATTTACTTGCTCTGACTTCTCTCTAAGTTACTTCCCGCAATAACCCTTCGGATATATACCCTCGGGTAGACTATCCATCACAGACTAAGATCGTACTTTCGATCTTTTGATCGATCACAGAACCGGGTGAAAAAATTGTATGAACATGTTTTCAGATTTTAAAATGGAAAATTAAAAAAATGAAAACAACAAATTGGAGATAGGAAAACAGAAAAATGAAAACACAAAATTGGAGAATGAAAAACAGAAATAGAAAACTAGGAAATATTTGTGTTAATAAACAAGCGGCGGTAAGTGTTCCTAAATGTGTCCCAAATATTCTATGCCGTTTTAGATGAACTATTTATTTTATTTACACACGAAAAATAAGAGTCTACACAAATGTACAAATAAGATATATAACCAGATTTTTTTAGTTGGACAATAATTATTTGCATAAATAGGAAAGGATTTCATTTCATTCGACAATATGATCAACCATAAATGGGGAATACACTTTCTAATTTGTATTTGCTTAATTGCATACAAATCAAAAGATGGATGAGATGAAGGTCTATATGGAAAGAAGAAGAATCATCATATAAAAATATGTAGAATGATGGATATTCCAACTAGAGCCCTTGATAATCCCTATTTTCAGCTTATCAACCCTATCAATTATTTTTTATCAAATATATAATTTTTTATTTCAAACGTTGAATTATTTAATTATCACAATAAGTAAGGTTGAAATTACTTTTCTCATTGAATTAAATGAAATTACTATAGATGAATATTATAACTATTTTTCATATGATTTTACTTTAATCTAATAATCAAATATTCTGTATATTTTAAATATTTTTTCATAATTCAGCAGATTCATTTAATTCAATTGCTTCAACGATCTTTCATTAATTTCAACATATTCAATAGATTCAATCAATTTTAGTATTAGCGGCCCTAAATTGCTAATAATGGAGTGAACATTTTCTCTATTCAAGAAAGGAATGTGTACGTATTATCACCCCGTATTACTCTGATTTACTTCTATCAAAAACTTTTAAATCACAAAAACCATATGTATCTTGGGTGATGGATAGGTTAAGAAGAACACTTCTTTCTTTTATTGAAGAAAAATTAAACAATTGTTTGCAAAAAAAAACTGAACAATTTTGATTTGCGGGTTGATTAACAAAATTAAATTTTGCAATTAGAAGGTTGATGGCTCATAGAGTCATAGACATCCACACGTATATATGATATGGTGAACCGTAATTTGTACGTCGTACTTCAATTCAATTCCGTCCAGTAAAGTACGGAGTATTATATTGATTCATTCCGTCCAGTAAATATTGATTACAAAAACACAATAAAAGGGAAAGGATAATCAATTCGGCTAAATACTCACGGACCATTAATTATTAAATTAGATCGATCGCGGGTTCTAATTTAAATATGCAACAATCGTAGAACGGATAGCAACAATAGAACAAGTAGGCATAATTTGTCCTAAAGGCAAGCAACCAAATGAATTTCTCCGTCAAGGCATCAAGGATCACTTTTGTTCGGAAAAGTAGTACGGTCTATTAATAGAACCAGAAATAATCAACTCATCCACTTGATAAATTAATGAAAGTCCTTAATCCTGATTAATCATTGTAAATTTACAAATGGATAGCTTAGATTAGAATGTCCTAATTGATATTGATATAACTGAAATGTTGGAAAAACATACTCTTCAAACAAATGGAAGAAGGATTTGTACGATTAATCGTGTGCAACTGATCATTAATTAACAAAAAATATAATTAAGATCAAGTAAGTAGCTAGAGCTAGTGAGCAGGAAATAAACTGGACAAATGATGGATTAAGATAATCATCAACTGCGGCTAAACTGTTCGTCTTCGCAGACTTTGATGATCGCCTGGGAACAAGGGGGCTTCAATGGAACCCACTTGTACCGCCCTTCCAGAGGTACGTCCTTCTCTACATCGTAGTTGTACCTGCAACCATATAGCACCGATCACGTACTTACCACGTACCATTGATCTCACCACTCATATTGAAGATCGATGTCAAATAAACTAATCATATGACTTACTTTTCCATGAACAATTTTTGCTGGTACTTTTCAGTAGCCGAGAAGAACTCTTCAATCTCTGCCGCAGACGGTGTATTATCTCTGCCCCCTGCCAATGAAGCTTTCTCCGCCGTTGATATCTTCTTCGAGCACTCCACCTCTGTTCCTGAGTCTCCTTGGTTAAGTCCAGTCGATGCCGTCGTCTCTCCGCTGCAAAACAGATTGAAACCATACGCCTTCAATTGCTCTGGCTGAGTTATTAGATCGTGGAGTGAAATTACTGAAATCTCCATTGTTTGCAGATTGTTTGTTCAATACGACACAACCGTGTATGTACACGGAAACTTATTTCCAGAACTTAATCGAGAAATTCTGATAAAGCAATGCAATGTACCTGAATCTGCCGGTGCTATTTGCTGTATCGGCCGTCTCAAAACCATTCTCCTGAAAATTCAAAAATCAAATTCCAGACAAGCAATAAATCTGAGCAATTCGGCATCAGAACTCAGAGGCAGATAATATGAATCAGAAATAAATCCATACGGAAGGCTAAGGATGAATCCTCACTCACCTTCAGATCCAAAGCACTTTTCTCCGCGTAACATGAGCCCTCGCACTCTGAATCCGGCAAGGAAGACGCCGGAGAAACAGAGCACTCCGACACACAATAGACCTCGCGTTGATCGGACAGAGAAACTACCTTTCTCCGCTTATTAGAGCTGATGATCGTCACCTCTCCACCTTTCCCCCTAAACGCAGCAGCGGCATTTCCAGCTCCAGCCTCCACCATCGCAGCCATTGGCGTCGTCTCCGCCATTACAACCCGTTCGCATCTCAAGTACGCTTCCATCTCTCTCTCTCTCTTACCTCTCTAACAGAACTGCGGAAACTGAAAAATAACAGTACGCATATGTGCGTGTATTTATATATATAGCTTGGGATTGGAAAGCGAGTGATTCTTGGCACTCACTCACACTGAAGAGTGAGAAATTAGTTGCAGAAGAAAAGGAGAACGGGGTAGAATGGGAGTTAGAGAGAAGTTGTAGGGGTAAAATGGGGTATCCGGGATAAAGAGATGAAATCGGACGGTGGAGATTGAAAGAGACGGTTAGAAAGTGGACGAACGGAAATGAAGAGAAGAAGTGGTCCTGAGGCTCCGTTCGCAGTGGCAGTAGACATGGGAATACCGTTGAGAGGATATATATACAGACATGTGCAGTGTGCATGGCAGATTCATGAGAATGATTACATATTTTGTAGCCAATCACCGAATGCTGCGTGGACTTGGTAAACAGAGACCTGGTAAAAAAATTACTCCATCCCTTTCGATTAAAACTTTCAACTTTCCTTTTTCGTCCGTTCCAATTAAAACTTCCACAATTCTTACACATTTCTCTTTCTTCTTCACAATTCTCACCACACAATATCCACTGATTGAGTAATGAGACTAGGCCCAGAGTCTAATCAGCCCAAGCCCCGAATTTGGAACCGTGGATCCAAGTCCACAACCTGGAGCCTACCTGCCTACCCAGCGGGGAGCCTGCCAGTCCGGCCGACCTCCCAACCCGAAAGAGTAACGGTGAAGCAATTAATGCGCTATTAATTATGTATTTAATTCCGTATTAATGTTGTAATTAATTAGTCATTATTATCGATAGCGGTTACGATTTGTATACGCCTATAAAAGGTAACTTGTAATTCAAATTAGGGGAGACAATTTATATATGCTATTTCTGGCAACTAAACACTTTTAGCTTCTTTCCTTATTCGCATTATTTTCCTGATTTCCTGCTTGAGTGTCGTACGCAGCTTTCCTAAAAGCCTACGAGCGTCCTATTTTGGACCAACATCCACTATCTTAAATTATTGTCAAACCTATTTGAAAGATAAAATAGGAACATAGGGAGTACTAAAAATATCCACATCCTTCTTTAGTAAACATAATAAATAAATGAAAATATTACAACAACAACTTCAAAGCCTTAATCTCAAAAAAATGTGAGGTCGTCTAACATGAATCGATATATGATATCGCCAAACAGAGAGTATCGATATTCATATTTCGATTCATGTCATGTGATGTGACTAAGCGATATTGTTGGTTGTTATGCGCCTACCACAGCACACTCCTCCTTTATCATGGCTTGGGACAGACATGATACCAAAAAATGATCTCATGACGGAGTTAGATAAATGAAAAATATTAAATTAATAAAAATCATATACTGTGTACGTAGTGTAGTACTCTGTTTATACACTGAATGCACAGATAATTGATTTTCATTTTAGTAAAGAGAATTGTCTTTGATTCTGAACTGTCTGTGCATTGATAATTCACTTTTTCGGTGCCCGGAAAGTTTCCTTTACTAAAATGTAAATTATCTGTCTGTGTACAGACAAAATACACTTGACATGTAAACGATCGTGTACAAGCAAGTAGCATTGTAGAATATATTTTGTTACTTTTTGTCTAACCGAAATGAGAAGAGCCATTTTACATGGGATGTGGGTGACGGGATTGGGTCAAAGGACACAAAGATTGTTCTTTTCATTTACTCTGGACATTCATGCTGATCAAATGGTTGTGTAGTACAATTTAGAGAATATAGTGAAGTTTGAAGTATACTTCATTGTGTACTATTTGTAATGTTATAACAATATACTTGGTATTAGATGAGTCTAAAGCATAATTGTAGTGAATAATCACCCCAAGCAATATGGCAATATATCGGTAAAAGATTGTGGAATAATTATTCACTAATGCTATTTGTACACGGCATTTTACATACCGGTTAAATAGCCTGGCTACAGAAAATTTGATCAGCGTGTAAAATGTCATATATAAATGCTGTGTACACAAATTGTTATCGATGATAGATATAGCTATCAAGATTTTAGCAGAATGTATAATGATCACTGGTAAGTAGTAATCAATAATTACATTTTCATACGCTCATGAATATTTGGAAATAACAATATACGGAGTACTATCGACATATTCCACACCGATATAGGGGTCCATATCCAGAGCAAGTGATATGAAATTCAAGGTTTACTTGAATTTTTATTCACGACAAAGCTCGCGATTAGGACTACTTTTCCTTGTTATATATGGACTAAAGGACCTAGTTCATCCTATTCTAGTTCTAGATAATTTGAAACTATAAACGGGCTAACGCTCCTATTTTTTAACTATCAATTCTAATTTGCCTACTTTATAGCAAGTTTGTTTATAAGTAGGCAACAAGTACGCATATGAGCATAAATTAAACATATGAAAAACTAACCCGCTCTTTGTTGCCTATTCTTTCTTCAGAATTCTGATATTTATAAATGTGAAAAAAAATTGAATCAAGCAAATGCATCTACGTGTTTGCCAATTCAATTCATTATGACCTGATGACCTGCAATCCTCCAAATCCAGCTCTAACACATAGGTTCGTTTGGGTGCATGATTGAGAAGAAAATTACCGTTTGATGATCATATTTTTTGACTTATCAAGTTTATCTGTCAACTCTTTCAACAAAAACGTAATTTTTCATTTCGCGCACTGAATTGTGTAATAATAAGAAAAAACAAGGTTGAAGTTATTTTTCTAGTTGTATTAACTGCAGTCACCGTAGATGATTATTTTAGCTGTTTTTCATATAATTTTTTCTTTATTTTATTAATAAAGTATACTTTAAATATATTTTTTCATAAATCGTCAAAATCAGTCAATCCAGCCATTTAAGTCATAATTTCATAAATTTAATCAAATTTAGCCAATACAGCCGATTTAAGTATTACCAAACTAGCTCTAAAAGTGAGAGACTATTAGCAGTAGCTTTAATATAAAAATTATCATTGCTTCATTTTATACTACTTTACCAAAATTCTCATTTATTATTTATTATAAAAAGTATGTAATATCTAACACGCATTAGAAATATGCCCTTTGACGTAATTTACACTTTTTAAAATGAATGATTCACTTATTTCACTATATCTTCCTTTTTACCAAACAAGAATATTTCATGTTCCCAGTTTGTTAAGTTTACAGCCACAACAAATTTACCTCTAGACTAAATCAAAATTCAAATATTAACCTTCCGCTTCTTGTTGTTGTGCAGCATAGCCTACATCTCTATTTTCCTTTGAAGACGTCTCAATTTTTCCTTTTTTCTCTTTCTTCTCGTTGTTATGCCCCTAAACTATATCTTCTTGCTCCAGTGCCGCAAAGGCTCCACTAAACTATGTATATTGTAAAATTGCATATAAATAGTCGTCGGTCCAAATAGATGAGTGGTATACCCCTCACTTTTTTAAAAAATAATTAAGCAAAAGACTCACTATTTTCCATCTCACTATTTTTTAACTTGAGAATATAATAGAATAAAGTAAAATAACTCACTGAACTATTTGCACGCTTTTGTTATGAAACAACGGTCAGCCTTTGCAATTTTCATCATAGGTCATTCAGAAACTCTCTCTTTACTTTAGCATAGAGGTAAAGTTGTGTACATCCGACCCCTACTCATCGTAGGAGCCTTTAAAACAATGGGGTAATGTTGTAATTATGAATTGTAAAATTGTAACAAATGTAGTCACAATTCCAAATAGATGAGTGCTAATATGCTATATATATATATATATATATATATATATATATATATATATATATATATAGATAAGAGATCAAATACAAACCATGCTTAAAATACTAACCTACAAACTCTATAATATGCATCACTTTGAACTTCAATATGCAGTAAAAATAATGTAAAGATGCAGGGGTGAGATCACATACAAACTAGTCCTCTCATCCAAATCATCTTTACATTATTTGTATTGCACATTGAAGTTCAAAGTGTTTCATATTATTCAAACCATAAAATAGCAGTTTCATATTTACATTATTTGTATTGCATATTGCAATTCAAAAAGTGCATCTTTACATTATTTGTACTGCATATTGAAGTTCAAAGTGTTGCTTATTATTGAGTTTGTAGGTTAGTAAGTTAAGCATGGTTTGTATGTGATCTCACCCATATATATATATATATATATATATATATATATATATATATATATATATAGGGAGCGATTCCGGTAAAAACGAACTCCCAGGAGAGAAATAAGAACGAATCTGGACCGTTGGATTATATTATGTGGAACGAAAATGTGCATTTGATTAAACTGAAATGTGTATTACATTATACTAAAATGTGCAGAATAAAAATTTAAACTCAATTGTGCATTAGGTGAAACTGAAATGTGCGGAATAAAATGTACAAAAATAACATCACATCGTACCTTTTATTCTGCACATTTCAGTTTCACATAGTGCACATTTCAATTTCAGCTAATGCACAATTCAGCTTCACTTAATGACATTGTGTCATACGCTTTGTGTTGTACATTTCAATTTCACCTAATGCACATTACAGTTTCATCTAATGCACATTGAATTTCACTTAAAGCAAATCTAACGGTCCAGATTCGTTCTCATTTCTCTCCTAAGATCATGTTCTTATTTGAACCAAAACCTATATATATATATATATATATATATATATATATATATATATATATATATATATATATATATATATATATATATATATATATATATATATATATATATTCTCTAATATATATGCTTGAAAGATACTATCGTATATTTGTTTAAAAGTGGGATATATATGCTCTCTAACTATACAGGTGGAACCAAATATGATCTGCGATGATAACTGTAAATTTCACCATGGATTCACTACTCATATAAGCAAATGTGCTCTCTGTGATGTTTAAGGGCATTGCGTTTTAGTTATGCTCTCTAGACAAACTAAAACAATCACCTTTGATACAAGGGTAAAGTACACCTCAATGACTGTTTCTTTCTAATCGCGCATTGGTTATAGAAATATAAGAACTAAATAATGCAATGGGTGTGGGGTAAAATAAATTTACTATGCGATGAGACAATCAGAAAAAGAAAAGATTGCTCCTCTCAAAGTGCTCTTTTGATATGAAAGAAGTTGGGATATTCCTTGTTGGCAGCATCAACATCCTCTGGTGATGCCACAGCAACCACAACCCCTTTATCTTTTACTGTTTGTATAACATCTGCAAATTCCTTGAAATCGGACAACCTAAACACATGGGAACAAAAAACAAGCAAAACAAACAATGATTCATTGTTTCCTTGGAATTCAAAAGACAAATCTATCCACTACATCATGCCATGTTGTAGCCTTAAATCTATTTGTATGTACAAAGATGCGGATGCCTTTTATGGCGCAATTTTGCAGGCAACAATGACTTACTTGGTTAATCGTTAAATCTCATAGTACTTCACAAGTCAGACCCCCACAAATAAATAAAAGAATAAATAATAAAACAAACCAATCAAGAATGAAATGGAAGTGTGTGCAAGTTTACCTTGTGGATAATATTTCTTCACGTCTCATTTCCCTTTCTTCTGGAGTGACCCCCAACAAGTATCGAAGTAAACTGAAAGCAATGGAAACCATTAGAGTATGGGGGAATAGAAAGAGCACACAGTTGACTACTTCCTAAAAGAGGAATCTCACCATATCCACATTTATCTTAGCTAATGAACTCCACCAACCCAGCATATTAGGATTATTAAATAATATTGCAAAGTAAAACAATTACATTGAAAAATAAAAGAAATCCATAAAAGTAACACAATGGTTTGAATCTTATCGATGAATACTATCTAGCTAAATGAGCTTTACACAAGCCACTTTTCACCTTTGAAGCTTACATATATCTGTT